TTTTTTAAAAGCATAATTGATGTTTCTGCAACTGTTTTGATTGCATGTCTTTCATTTCAATTTAACTCATTAATAGTTAGGCCATTTGACAGACTTACAAGTCTGAAAGTCTGACTCTAAGGTCTGAAAGTTATAATTATGTTTTTAAGAGTTGTGAATCTTTAATAGTAATTATTTTTATTTTATAGTAATTATATTTATTTTTTTCAGCAAGTTTTTTTGATTGCCATTAAAAGATGGCCATAAAAGATGGAGGAATTGGGGTGGGTCAGCAAACAGGAGGTTGAGTCCACTGATTAATAGTTCAGGTTCACACTTATAGATTAATGGGTAGGGGGCTGGGGTAGCTCGGTTGGTAGGGCACTGGGCCCATGTCCAAGAGGTCGTGTCCGAAGATTCTAGGTGTATTAAAAGGTGACTGGTGCACGTTAAATCTGTCAAGTCACAAAGTCATCCATGTTCCCATACGTGCAGTTACGCCCCATTGCGTCTAATGCAAAGTTCAATGCACTGACCAGGTTTCATTTGAATGACCCTCTTACTTCAATTCATACTTTTTTTCCACATGTTTTGAAAAGATAAATTATCAGCATAATTTGCAATTATAAACACTTTTCTTTCAATAAAGTGTTCTTGTAAAAATTGTAATAACTATATATTTTAAATTTTTACATAAATTTTCGAAAAAATAAAATATTTTCTTAATATTAGCCAAATAAACGTAAACTCAGGTACTTTTTTAAAATATAGTACTTTGGTTTGATTATTAACATTGTGCTACACAGAATGAACTACTACAGATTGTCCAGTGTTCATAAATGGTTAATTTAAATATTTAGTACACACATGGAAGTTCCTAATATCACACTATAAACAAGCCTAATTTACACACTACACCTATATATAAATAAAAGATTAAGAAACTATTTCCAGCTCACAATAATATATTTTACATTATCTGTAAATACAATTTGCTTAATATGCCATCAAATATCCAATCATACAAATGAATAGTTTTGCTATACATTGAATCCTAAATAAAAACAGATTTGAGTTTTATTTATGATTAAGTAATTTTAAGTTGAATTATAATGTTACTATTGAATAAACATATACTATGCAAACAGAAAAATCTTTTAAACATATACAGTTTCTGGCCAAATTATTAGACGAACTATACGATTCTATTTTAAATCTTAATTATTAGGTGATACTATACATCTTTGTTGTTTTTACGTGGCTGAAACCGGTTTGCACTTCTTCATTTTCGTGTATCACTCTGTTAAATTAGACGATATATAATATAAATTTAACGATCGGATAAATTAGACGGTATATTATATAAATATAGAGTATTTATTATATTAAGTATTACATTAGTATTAGACGCACTGTAGTTTTTTTAATGATATGTTTTGCCTGAGTTTATATGCAATACTTTCATATTTAACATACGTGCAGTGGGTTTTTATTTGAGAGATTTTTTATATACTTCATATTTGTATTTATTTTTAACGTATTGAATAACAATGCTAACGGATTAATACACGAACGTAAACAAGTTCTAACCGGTTTCAGTCGAGTAAAAACAATAAAGCTGTAGAGTATTATAATTAAGATTTTACATAGAACCTTTAGTGCGTCTAATAATTTAACAAGGATCTGCACATCTGTAATTAGTTAAAAATTAATACAACTGACTAATGAACATCTTAAAAATATTTAACTGCTTATAATTTCTGATTCATCACTATATATAAAAAATAAATGCTTTTTTCTGACGAATGGGCACATTATTTTATGGGGTTCGTGGCATGTTTAGAGGCAAAATTAAATTGCGGTTTTCTGGTCTAATCTTAGCTAAAGCTAGTTTTTGTTTTATTTTTACAGACGGATAGAGGAAAGAAAATTTCTGGTGAGGAAGTGTGGACTGACAATCTATAATAAGCAAACCGGGATGTCGCGCGCCAATTCCTCAAAGCGAAAGTTCGTCGTCGGCACAATTCATCACAGACACAATTCTTTGTGGGCAAAATTCGTCACGATGATAATTTCATCGTTGGCACAATTCGTCGGCAATTCATCTTTGGCACAATTTCATGCGGTAGCATTGAAATGCATCTATAAACGATGTATTTTAATGCATACATTTATTAAAGATGTATATAATCTTTTAACGATGTATTTCAATGCATACATTTATTAAAGATGAATATAATCTTTTAACGATGTCTAGCAAAAACTCTTGCATTGCTTACAAAACTATATATTTAATTTTTGATCGGTCATATAATACAAAACCATCAAGGAGGGCGAATGGCTTATGATTCGCTTATCGTTACTTACAAGGCGGTGGAGGGCTATTTATTTTATTTTATAACTGTCCCAATTAGCCGACCCAATTTAGGGTTTAACTACTAATGTGCAATTGTAATTTTGATCACAATACAGAAGACAAAGGAATTCATAGATCAAATATTAGGAGAAATTTATCTTTGATGTGGAGTTTTTGGTGGAACTCGCATTTGCGTTACATGAAGAGGAAACCAAGAAAACAATCTTAATGGTTCTATCAGATGAAGTCACCCATTATGAGTTCCAATCTTAATGGGTGACACCTGCTAATTAATTAGTGTAATTATTAATTAAGTTACGAAATCAAACAAAACGTGCTAGCGCAAAATTGTACTTTTTCTGAATAACCATGCATTTCTTTTTTACATATTTCGATTTCTGACTCTTGAAAATAGTTTAGTTATTTTTGTTTAAAACTTTACACAAGACTTTCTTTTAGAACTATGTTTGATTTAGTACCCCGCAGTTTTCTAACTTAAAAGTTTCTAATCAATATGAATATCAAGACAGAAACTAACTTACTTTCTTCTCCTATGACTCTCCACACGCTGATGATGAAAACATGCGTTGCCATAAGTAGAGAGTTCTTATCTACGAAACCTCTAGTCCATTTCGATCACGAATAGCAAAAAGTTAACATCAAGCACAGTTCTCAATACACTTCGGTGGACAAATTTTGTCATCATTCCCCTTCAACTGCAATAACGACTTCTCCTGCAAGAGACATCGTTTTTCTGTTACAACTTTGGAGCAACAATTATCTCAATGCCGAAAATGGTGGCAACTACTTTACACCAAAGTGAAACACCATAAATAACTCTTTGTACTTAAGTATTTTGTTATCCAAAGAACAAAAAATAATTCTTGAAATAGTGAAACACCGAAAATGTCCTTTTAAAAATACTTGGTTGTTAAAGTAGCTGCCACCATTTTGGTATTCAACAACACTAAAATTTAAAATTTCAGTAAGATATGATACACATAGCTGCCATTTCTCCTGGATTTACCAGTCGACTATTGGATTTTGCCATTTTCTCCTGGTCTACTCGTACAATAAAAATTTTCCTGGTTTTCGGACATTTCAGAAAAGTCCCTATTCCCTAAAAGATAATTTATCGCTTGCTTAAATTTTTAAGTACTAATGCATACCTGCCAACTTTTACGCATTTGGCGTAAAATTTTATTTTTATATTTAAAGTGGTATTAAATATATTTTTTCCCCTTTATAATCTTAATTTTTAAATGATTTTGATCACCACTATTCTTAAAAAAATTAAGCATATATATTAATATGTGTCACTATCATAGTTGTCAGTTTAAGCTTTTTGAAATACAACAGATTTCTATGCTTAAAATGGAAATTTTAATTCCTTTTAAACAGGAAAAAATCATAACGGAAAGAATTAAAAGTTGGCAGGTATGCTAATGAATAATAAATTGAACTTAATTTATATTAATCAGTTTAAAACTTTTCTTTTTCTTTGTTCCAAAAATTTCAGTTTATTTTTATTCTGTACTTCCTTTTTAAATTATAATATAGTATGAAGTAAAAATCATCAATTTGGGGTGCATATATACACTAATTCTTAAAATAAAGTTTGTTTGCTAATCAAACTTAGATTTATCAAAGATTAAGATGAACTCAAACTAGGCTTAACCAAATAAAAGAGACTCAAAAATAAATATGATAAAGTTTGTAAGTTTTTGTATTTTCATGACAAAAAAAAAATCTCCTAACTTCCCTACATGAAAAATATTTAAAGTATTATGGAACAGTTATTATTTCGTAAAATCTACTAGATATTTTCTTATCCATGTTGACAGCTATGGATACACATAAGAGTCAGCAAGAAACTTATTTCAAAATAAAAGTTACTTCGAAAAAAAAAGTTTGAAAGTTATTTAATTCGAATATTATAATAAAAGGTAATTATCATTTATTTAAGTTGCATAAATACACTAATTCTTAAAATAAAGCTTGTTTGCAAATCAAACTTATACACATCAGAGAGGACATTAAGATAAAATCTAACTAGGCTAAACCAAATAGAGGAGAATCAAAAATTAATATTATAAAATTTAATGGAATTGACATTTTTATGTAAATATTCTAATGAAAACATAATTATTTTTATTACACAACTCATGCCTTTAATAACAACTTCTGTTATTTGTTACTAACTTGCCTTTAATAACAGTTAACTTTGTTTCTGTGGAATGTTCAGTAGCGAGTGAGATAAATGTTCCACCGTCTCGTGATCTATTATAAACAATCAACAGTTGCCATCTGACGGCTTTCAAGAAAACTCCAAAATTAGCAAAAATAATTAATAAAGCAAATAAATGCATCTAAGCTTCCTCAATTAATGGTATTCAGATTTCACTTCAAGTGCGTATGAATACCCAATTCAGTATAAGCTACAAATAAAGTATTTACTCTTTTCAAGTTGATATTTGTTCAAAAATTGAGTAGCAGAATTTTTAAAATAGTTGGTAAAACAATTAAAAAATAAATAATAAGTTCGTAACTAATTACATTACAGGTTTATATGCATTTAGTACACATTTTGAGTATTTAAATAGTACAGTTAACTAAACGGTACCAAATAGTGTACATTTTGAGCACTCCTGATGATAATTAAAAGCACTAATGATATTAGAAGTTCCATAAATATCAGAAATAATTGCTACAATATCTGAATTAAAAATTAAAATAATCTGAAATAGTTTTGAAATTTCACAGAATAAGATAAGTATAAGATAAGTAAACTAAATATTTTTCAGTGATAAGGCAGGGTAGCGTAGAAGTTCTGCTTAAATGTCATTAAAAAATTCGACGAATGCCACAGTGAAAAGGTTTAACCATTAAACTACGGCCTAATAAATTTATTCACAAAAGCAATATCATTTTTCTACACGTGGAAGAGTTTAGAACATTTTAAAATACATATGTAAAAGACTGGCTTGTATTTTTATGTCGTATAGTATTTGAAATATACCTTTTTAATTCCTTAATTATTAATTTTATTTTTATTGATTAAGGCTTTAAAAACTAAATACTTTTTTCACTCAGACATAACACACATTTTACACAAACTTACAGAAAAATGAGTAAGTATTTCTATAAAAATTGCACCAAAATCACCGTAGTCCAGATAGTGTATCAGGCTGGCCACTAACATTCAGTAAAAAATTTCTTGACTTTCCTCTGAGTTTTAAAACCAATGGTGTAATTTCATTATTTGTAACTAATACAACACGTTTTTAAACAAAATTTTTATTGAAGTATCAATACTTTTTAAAGAAAAAAAATCTTTTTTTAACATTTTTCGAGAGTGAATTCTGGTAGATAATAGACGTCATTTATAATCGTCTAAAAAACATTATGAACAACATACACACATTGTTTTTCACCATATTACTAATTCTTGAATAACGTACAGTGGTTAAAAACTTTCAAATAACAAAATTGGGAAACTAAATTCATTCAAAAAAAAATTTTTTTTCAAAAGAAAAAAAAAAGTATGACATTTAAAGAATATGACAAATTTGTTCATAAGTGTCAAACTCATTGATCTGAATGATATTTACTTCATTATTTATTACATAGTTAAAATCCAGAACAAATAATGGACTTAGTAAATATGCCCAGAATGACAAATACAGTCAACGAATACAATCGGCTCCAACCAAATCTATGCAATTCAATTATTACAGGTTATTCAATTAAAACAGAAAAGCCAACTTGTTCCGGACAGCAAATACATATTTTAAAGTGGGAGTTTATCAATTGTGATTCTTGGTTTAATAAATTCAATTTAGTAGATTTTTATCCACAACTATTTCGAAATAATTCGTAGGCTTATATAATTCACCACTTTATGGTATTACTATCATTCTATTCCTTTTAAAAAGCAAGCAAAAATTGTCAAATATTTTCAAAATTTACCGTTTTTTAAAATTATTTTGGCGCGTCCGAAGCAGTTGGCATCTCTGTTAAAATGTAAATGCAATATTTAATCGTAAATTCTAAATTTTTGCGAAATTTTATTTTTTAAGGGTATTTAATGCGTAGTATAGTGTTTTGATAAAATACACTCAGTCTTATGATTAATGAACAATTATAATTAAAACTGTCTGTGTTAGTATCAGAAAATATAAAAGTAATTTAAAGTTACATAAAAATAAATCAATATTCGTGAAAAGTATAACACAGATATACAACAATTTAAGAAACATTTCTCCCAACAACAAAAATAGCAAACAAAAACCAGGAGAATTGATAGCAAAATTCAGTAAATTGTTCTGCAGCTATGATATACAAATATTTACATTAAGTATTAAAAAAATTTTTGATGTGGTAATTGGAAATGTAAGAATACCAATAATAATAAACGATTCACACAAGTAAAAAATATTTTTATCCAGCGAATATTATTATGTTTCGGATAAAAAAATTAATCTTAACCCGTACCTTCTCGCTCCATTCAAAATATACCGGTATGATGTTCCACCCTCTATTTCTCATGACCGTGATATTTCCAGGCTGATGTTTTCTTAAAAGTAATCAACCTTATTTCTTATGTCCCGAATTATGCATATTACCTACTCTACACACCAGATGGCAGTGCAAGATTATTCGCCACGTGTTTGGAGATAGTTTATTTTAAATCAGCACTTATCAAACATGAAAGCTCAAAATTAACTCAAAAATTAAAAATGAGTACATCGACTGTATAAACACTTAGTTTTGTATAATTTTCCTTTAAAAAAAATTACGACTGCTTTCTTCAAAATTATGCGACTATTAAGGGATAAAATGCAATCTTTCATTAATAGATTATGATATCGAATCAATTCATCAAAAAAGATCTTTTTTCTAACTCTATAAAATTTTTTACACTAACAATTTTGGTTTAACAATTACATTATGATTTAACAATAATGATTTGCAATTTAATGGTTTAACAATTACACTAGCAATTACTACAATATA